GGCTGGTGGATTACCTGAGATCAAGGGATTGAGAGCAGCCTGGCCAACATTGTGAAACCTTGTCTCTGCTAAAAATACAGAGGTTAGTCTGGTGTGGTGGCACAGGCCTGTAGTTCCAGCTACTCAGAAGGCTGAGGCAGGAGAATTGCTTGAACCCAGGACCTGGCAAATGTTGCAGTGAGCCAAGATTGTGCCACTGCACTCCAGCCTGGGCGACAGAGAAAGACTCCCGTCTCAAAAAACAAAATGAAGTTCAGTAAACCATGCTGTAAACAGGTGTGTTGTCATCCAGGCTTTGTTGTTCCATTGATGGAACAGAGGCAGAGTAGATTTAGCATAATTCTTAATTGCACTAGGATTTTCAGAATGGGAAATGAACATTGGCTTGGACTTAAAATCACCAGCTGCATTGGGCCTTAACAGGTCAGCCTGTTCTTTTTTCGTCTTTTTTCCAGACAGGGTCTCAGTTTGTTACCCAGGCTAGTCCCAAACTCTTAGGATTAAGCAATCAATCCCCTTGCCTCATTCTTGTGAGTAGCTGGGATTAGAGGCACACATCACTATGCCAGGCTAGCTTGTCCTTTGAAGCTTTGAAGCCAGCTTTGACTCCTTGACTTCTCTCTAGCTATGAAAGTCCTAGATGGCATCTTCCAGTAGAAGGCTATTTCATTTACGTTGAAAATTACTGTTCATTTTAGCCACCTTCATCAGCTAAGTCTTTGGATAACTTATTGAAACTTCTGTGTCAGCACTTGTTGCTGGTTCACCTTGCACTTTAAGTAACGGAGAGAACTTCTGTCCTTAAACCTCATAACCCAGACGGGCACAGTGGCTCATGCCTGTAATCCCAGCACTTTGGGAGGCTGAGGTGGGTGGATCACCTGAGGTTGGGAGTTCGAGACCAGCCTGATCAAAATGGAGAAACCCTGTTTCTACTGAAAATACAAAATTACGGGCGTGGTGGCTCACGGCGCCCAGCACTTTGGAAGGCCCAGGCGGGTGGATCACGAGGTCAAGAGATCGAGACCATCCGGGTCAACATAGTGAAACCCCGTCTCTACTAAAAATACAAAAAATCAGCTGGGCATGGTGGCGCATGCCTGTAATCCCAGCTACTCAGGAGGCTGAGGCAGGAGAATTGCCTGAACCCAGG